AATATGTACAGCATTTTCAGTTCTTCTATGCAATACTTGGTCAGTTCTAGAAATGCATAGGTTGTATGATGCAAAGCAGTGAAGGTTTCCTTTGTTAATTTGCCATTTCTTCCAGAAATGCTATTCCAAGATTCTAACCAGTAACAGAATACAGAGAGAAATCTAAAATTTTCTTCATTCATTCTAAGTGGATTGCAGTATTTATTTCTAAGCTGACAACCTTTATATGGCGTTTTAACATTCATTATTGTCCACCAAATATAAAATATGTTTATATATTCTGCAACTTCTGCAAAATTAGGCAAATATTTCTGTTTTCCTAAAGTCAATCCTTGAATAGTATATTCATTAAAAATTTGCAAAACTAAATTAACATTTTGCCTTTCAAGATTAGTAGGTGAAAGTGCCTTTGAGGTTAATTTATAACAATATTTCAAAATTGATTGAGATTCTAAGGCATGAAGTTTCTGTAAGGTAGAAAATGGGGCACTTTGGATACTATCTAATTCATGATTTCCATTATGACAAAATTTGGGGAACAGCATGCATTTTATTTGCATCTTTTGACCAAGCCAATTGTTTCTAATGCATTTTAATATATGGACTGAGTCAAAAAGGAAGAAAAGGGGTCGAGACTTTATAACTGGGTGTGGATATACAATGGAAAGCTTTGGAGGACTGCAAAAGAAAGATATAGCTTTTTTATTTATAGCATTATTATCTGTTATGATTGATAATACTTGAAAGCCTATCTCCTCTAAACCAATTATTATGCATTTAACTATGTCAAATAACTTCTCAGCTTTAAGACATTTAGTTGGCATAACATCTTTATATTGTGAGAATACACTGCTAATCATGAAAGCAAAAGCACTTGTTGCAGCTTCACTGCAGTTGTCAGATAAGCCAACAATATTACCACCTTTATAATCTAAATAAGGTTTTAGATGTATTTCATCAACAAGTAAAGATACTGTGACGTCCTGCACTAGGGGCTTAAATTTATTTTTAATATACATAAGAAAATTGTTATCATGTTGCTCAATCAAAGGATTCATATATGTTGATAATGTTAGTCTTTTAATGGTTGAATAGCTAGGTAAAATTATATTTTTGCTGTCTCTTAACAATCTGTACCCTTTAGGGGAGCAGTTATATAACAATAAAGAAAATATAATCATTTCTGTTGAATAATAAAGCTTATTTTGTGTCATTAAATTTAGCTGCTCATATATAAATTTTAATTGTATTAAAATGTTTGTTTGATTCTTCTTGCACCAATAGTAGAAATGACATTACCAATTTTAATATAAAAATCATATTTTGTGGTTCAGTTTGCTGTTGTTCTGTGTCCATTTTCTTCATGTTTTTCTATCAGAATTTCAAGGGTATTTTGATCAGTTACATGTTTAGGAATCTTATAGTCCCCTATTGAATGCATTTCCACATCTCTACAAAACACATGTACTGCAAAATCAGATTCAATTACAATTGATTTTTGGATATGGGGATTTGATGATGCTGAATATAATGTGTCTCTTGCTGCCTAACAAAACTCCAGTAATTTCTATCAAGGAAATTTAATTTCCCTTCTAGATAATTAACATTATGGAATTTCTTCTGCATTTTATATGATAAGTCATCATTAATACTTTGATTTAAAGCACTTTTAAGAGCAGAATTCTCTAGTCAGATTCTCCTAGAGTCTGGTGACTAGAAGTATTCAATGAAGATAAATATGCGGGACAGTTTGGGAAAATTCTAGGAATAGCACCATCACGAAGATATATTTTTTTTAGTTTAACTGCAATTGTGGCACCTGTTTTTTTGTCAAAAGCTGACGATTCTCTTATGTCCTCCGGTCGAAAATGTAGTTCACATACCTAAAAAGATTTTAAAAACCAAACCTATTTTAAATTCTTATGAAAATCTAAGAAAATCAATCAGCAAAAATCTACAGTAATATGAAGCATTAATAATTTTAGGAAAAGTGAAGAGAATTCAACAAAAGATTATCAGTGACGAAGCTATGTACAAATAAGAGAATTTTTAACGTTTATTCATTTTTTTAATTTAAAATGATAAATAAAAAAACATTCTAATTAATAAAACAACTCTAAACAATTGTTAAATTATAATAATTCTAAAAAAAATTCAATTACTTTTATGCCTATAAAAAGATTCCTTTATGAATTTATATCGAAAGTTTATTTTTTATAAAAATTAGATTTCAGCTTTTAAAAACTTTCGCAACTTTGTTTTTAATGTTTTGTGAATTATAAAGATATGAAATTATTTTAATCCTCAAAGTTTTAATTGTGTTTAATAACTTTTTAAAACAACACTTTGTTTTGAAAGGTGTTGTTATTTACAGACATGAAATTCATAATTCAATTAAAGTTTCATTTAGTCACGAATAAAACAATTCTAAAAAATTGTTAAAATTATTAGAATTATTTTTTATGCATATAAAATATTCCTTTAGGAATTCATGAATGAATTTAGGTTGAAAATTTCTTTAAAGTTTATTTCTTAAAAAATGAGTTTTTAGATTTTAAAAGCAACACGTATTTAGAACGAATGTCTAAAGTCTAAACTTTCTATCGCTAGATTTATGCCTTATTAACTTTTATGTTATGAATTACAAAGACATGGTATTAATTTTGTCATTAAAGTTTCAATAAAATTTACTTATTTTTAATACAAAAAATACTCACTCTGCTGAATTTAGTTGGTGAAAAATGATCTCTTCTGATTGTACGAATCCAAACGTCAGATAATTTTTTATCTTTAGGGAAAGAAAATACATGTACTTTAGGGCCGTTTTTATAATTCCCTTTGCAATTTGGTACAACGCACCTATAAGGCATTGTTTTTGTTTTAAATTAATTCAATATTTAAAAGAAAGTATTAATAAACAATTTAAAAATGCCGCCGTAAAAAATCTGATACAAAAAACAAACGACATGCTTCTTGAAAGTCGGACTCAATATGATGACGTCACATTTCTCCTTAACCCTATCAAACAGGTCTTCTATATCAGTGGTCACGCTCAAACCCCCTGTTACAATAACTTGTGACTTAGTGCTAGCACAGTCATCAACGGCTCCCCAGAGTTCTGGTTACCCAATTTCACTAACAAGGCTTGGGTTAAACAGGGTTATGGTTTCCAGGCACTTTCCAAAGTTGTCACATGCTAGGATCACCTCCCCAAGACTGATAACATCAAGAAGTCACCTTCCTGAGAAATTACCCATGGTGATATTTGCACCCGGGTCTCATGGTCAAAAAGTAAACATTCTCAGCCATGTGTTCATTTTTTTTTTCTTCTTCTCTTTCTTTTCAGAAGCTATTTACTTTAAATTAAATAAAGATTTAGTAAGATTCAACATGACTCTTAGCCCAACTCCAAGTAAGTTGGCATAACACAATGTGTTTGCCAAAAGTACACAAGATTTTAAGCAACTTTAGTGTTTGTTTTTTAACAATCTATCAAGCATATTCACATTGAAATCAATGAAAATTTTGGTAACTTAAAAATCCAGGCCAAAATTGAAAAGCATTTCATAGTACAGCCATCAGGGTTATATTGCAGGATGTTCTTTATTTGAGAAGCTTATTAATAATGTCTATTCCCAAACCAAAGTCTATATAAATGGAGTATGCATGTGCAGAAATCATTTTTTAGTTACCCAGAGATCTTCAGAGCATGTGCCACACACAGAAAACCAGCATCCCCATCCTTTAGCATGAATTAGAGAAAATTCACTGTAGAATGTATTCACTGCTAAAACATTAGTGCTACCACATTAATAAATAGATATCTGTGCCTCAAGAGTAGAAAAGTGATTGAAACAAAACAGTCCCATAGCTGTTGTACAACTTTTAAATTTCATCTTTAAGTTGTCAATGATTTTTCTTGTGTTGTTTCATCTGTTCACATATTTACACCTTTTTCTGTAAAATCACCTGACATTGAAGAAATAATACAATTGAAATCTTACCCAGATCAACAAACCCATGGCCTGTCAAGGATGGATAAAAGACAGTGCTGAACATTCATTTTTGGCAAGTACACAAATAAAATCCACTAGATATCCTCCACCTCATATGATATATGAAAGGTGTGTGGTATGTGGTGGCCATACCAGCACAAATATGGGTTATATTTAGCAAAATAGCTAGGGGTAGAGTTATATTTAGTAATTACAAAGAAAATGAACAATAAAAACAATTTATACCTGAAATAAAGCAAAAAAATTAAATAAAAACTTATTTTCTTGAGAAAAAGTATTTTAATGAAATAAATGGTTCAGATTCCTGTACATCACTCATTTTGAACTTGATAATGTTTACCACTCACTATTAAATGTTATTTTTAATTATCTCATAATGAAAAGTTATTTTCTGTATGATTTCTAGTTATGACATTTGTTTTTAACAGCATAAAAAGATAATTATCAAATATTTATATGGATTAAAAATAACTTAATATGAAAAATTTAAGTTTATAAAAGCTGTTTTTAATCTCATGACAGTCCTTTAATCAATGCATCACGATTCCTTGCAAGTTTATTTTTATTTTTTGGTTGCAATAGGTCTGTTTACTACCCACTGCAAAAACTGATTTGTAAGCTTCACGAGAATTCAGAATAAAAATACTTGCTGCATTATGGATTATACCTTATCAAATTCAATAACTAAATTATCATTGAAAAAAAAAAAAAAAAAAAGTGTGTGGGGTGGGTTACAAAGGATGAGTTACCTCTTAAAAAAATACTATATGGAGATAAATGCTATTCATGATGTAGAGTTGTTGTCAAAAATTGCTTTTGTAGATATAGTGAAAATGTAAACTGAAAATATTTTTTGCCATCCTTAAAAAGAAAAATGTATTCACAGAAGATGCTTTTAGAAATCAACTTAATCTTTGGTCAGTATATTCTGTAAGGCTCTTTGTGATCAGCTGTGCTGCTCTTGGGATAAAAAAGAAAAATCCTTTAAAGTATCTGGATAACTTCACGGGCACGTGCTAATTGGATTTCACCTGGTTTATCTGAAAGACATTAAAATATGAAATTATTAAATAAAAAAAAAAAAAATGTATGCAATTAATTTATCAAATACATTGATGAGAAGATTGTTCTAATTGTACACTCATTATAAAGTGGAAGTATTAGAAATGGCATTATTAACATTTAACACTCTGCATTATTAATATTACTTCCCTTCCCACTACATTCTTTTTCAAGGACTCTTAATTGCAATATCCTTATTGTTAATTTTGTTCTAAGTTGTTTTCTGTTGTCATAGCAAGATATGACAACACAACTATGAAATTCAAACACTATTGTTCAGGAATCAGTCACCTTTAGTGGCAGGATAAACATTTTGTACAACAAATGAAGTCACATACAGAGTGATAAAGGTTAACAGAATACACACTCCATTTAATCTGGCATATACAGGGTGTCCCATAATGATGGCATACATTTTATTTGCAAGTATATTGGATTATAAAAATGACAGAATACCAAATATATTTACTACATAACTGATATACAAGAGTTTAACATATCATCTAAAATTTTGCTATTTCCTACAGGTATCTGATATCTCTTTTACTGATGGTAAACCCTCATGGTGTCATGGAAATTGCATACACCCGTTCTCTGCATGGTGGTGACCATCTCAGGGATGTAATATTCAAATCTCAGATAATATGTTGACCTCTTATATATCAGTTATGCAATAAATATAATTGGTACATTATATCATTTTTATAATTCAAGATACTTACATTTAAAATGTGTCCCACCCTGTATTTGTAAAAAAAGAAAAGAAAAAAAAAAGAAATTTGCTTTTCAACAAGTGTTGTTGAAAACATAACCAAGACAATATACTCAAATTGAATTCATCAGATATTGGAAATTTAGTAAAAAAACAAAAACAAAAAAAAAAAAAACCCAAAAAACATCCAAAATGAAACAAGAGGCCTATTTATTATTTTAATAATCACCTGAGAGCACAATTTTCTTGTATATTTTTGCAGTAGCATCACCACTGGCTACATTCAAAACACTCTTGGCTTGTTCAAGTGTCATCTCTCGACTGTAACCTTTCATGCCAGCCAAATACTTTAATGCAACTTTAAACATTTTATCATCAATCTGAAATTATATACAAAATACACATTGAATGGTATATTAATGTAGGTGAGATTTCTTTATATCAAACAGATACATATAAGAGTTATGCAATATTAAGTGTAAATTCATTTTTATTTGAATGGTGTTAAATTTTTGCTGCTTCTTCCAAACCTGTTTCAAAAACAAACAGGTGTATGCTTCTTTAACTATAGTGTGATATCATTAAACAGTTGATTAAATAACACAACTAAGAAGATTAAACAACAAATTGTAAAATTCAATCACAGAGTATAGTAAACTGTAAAATATTCTGATATTTATGAATGAGTGATAGCTTGAGAATTGTTTTTTTTTTCCAAGACAAATTCTATATATTAGATCAAATAACCCAGGATTGAAATCTTATTTGTGCCTACCATACAGACACAATATTCTGTACAGATATCAGTCAATTTTGAATATATGAAATTAAATCAATGCTTTTGAATGTCTGATGGGGTGTTGAAAATTACTCAGATTTTAAAAAATTGGTTGGGCTGAAGATTTTTCAATACCTCCAATTGAGAGGTTTTAAATTAAGATACACATCAAAGGATAAAACTAATCTTTTTTTAAGGATTTATGATAAAATTCTTAATTGTAGAAATTTTTGTAAAAGATAACATTTGGGTACACATACAATGCTGAAATTATAAAACGTTTTCCTGGTGTTTTCAGATCATAAAGGCAGATGCAAACACACTTTAGTGTGTAACTTTAGAAAAGTAGTAATTTTAAGGAAATTAACAATCTTACCTTTTCAGGATTATACAAGTGATGAACCAACCAATTTTGTCGGGTTTTGACAAATTTCCAATTTGTTTTATCTTTATTCCAGGCTTTCAAAAATTCTTTGGCTTTATATTCTGCTGTGGATGCATCTTCAAGGGGAATATCACCTTTAGGCCGAGGTTGACTTTCAGTGGAATTTTTATCTTTTTTATTCTTTTTTGATTTCCTTTTGCGCTTTTTGTTTTTAGCTGTAAAAGAAAGTAAAAATGAAATAAAATTCTTATATTCATCACAATTCTTTGCTGAGTGAAGAAAATTCACTGTTTAAAGACTCTGCTTTTAGACAATATGAGGGTGCAATGAAAAGTTCTTGGCTCAACCAAGAACCCTACACCCCCATCCCAAAAACTTTAGCACACACTTCATATACATTTTTTTTTTTCTAGATGCTTTGTAAGCAGAAAAAGAAAATTCCGATTTGTATAATGAAAACATTTTATTTACACTGTCACATGCCAACAACTATGACCACAGACTTCTCTAACACTTACACATAATATCTACAAAAAATATTTAATAAAATTTGACATGGAGAATTATTAAAAAAATTTTTTTTTTTTTTTTTTAATGAAATTGTCAAGGTTTTGAAATCATTATTGAAAGTTTTCAAAACATACCAAATCTAAAAAAAGAAAAAAAAAATATAGCAAATTTATTGAAATAAGACATTTTGGTCCTTACTTTTTGTTTCTGGAGGAATAGTTCCATTTGCTATGAGTTCTTTCTTTTTAGCCTTTTCTTTTTTTCTCTCTTCTCGTCCAGCATGTCTTGCTTTTCTCTTTTTTTTGCTATCAGCTACAAGAAAAAAAAACAAAAAAAAGAAACAAATACAAAAAAACAATTTATAATAGGCCTATTGAACTAGCAAATCTAATTTAGCCTCAGAATCAACAGGAAAGTATATTTTGAAATTTAATATAATGCATACATAATCCAGTGAAGTACTTACACTGGAAAAACAATGAGACTACATTATTTATAATGTTATTTCATGTATTGCAGTATTCTTAAATAACTCAATGAAATGAAAGGTAAGAAATTAAAAAATTAAAAAAAAAAAAAAAAAAAAAAATTTATGCCTATTTCTGGTATTCTGTTACTTGACCTTCAAACCATTACAATCCCAAATTACTAAAATTACAAGTGGAGAATGTTTAATGACAAAAATCTTTTTCAGGAAATAGAGTTAATAATATTCACCATTAATAGGAAAAACTGCGAAATTTCAGATTATATTTGACATGGATGAGATAGCAACCAGAGATGCAACTTCAGCAGTGAATTTTATGCACAGTAAAGTACTCTGTTTGCAGGTGTGTGTATATATTAAATTTAATTATCTGGCAAAATCCAGAGTGCAATCAATTTTATGACCAGTTGATGATTTTAATAAATTAATGTTTAGCAGATTTATTTATAACCAAATAAATTAATAATATTACATTTGTAAACTAAACTGAAGCAACAAGGAGAGCTCAGAATAATTTGAGGGAGGATTGCTGTCATTGGCCTGTGCTTCTTTGAGAGTGAAAGGTACTAGGAAGAGAAGAAACAATTACATATATATTATATTTCAGTAATAAAGAAAGTTTTTCTTTAATGTCTCTGGTCTCATTTTAATTAAAATTTTTAGTGTTAGAATCCTAATTTTGATGGCTGTTATCACCAGTCATGACCAACAGAGCTAATAGTATTGCTAGTCCATTATACAAATTTAAAACAAATTCAAAGTTACTTTTAGAAATTACACCTAGAGTTTTATTTACATAAATTTCCAATTACTTTTTCACTAATACTAACTACAAAACATCTACATTAACTCCTGACTGATTTTGGTAGCACCAGTCAAGTAGAATGAATTCAAAATCATATCTTTAAAACATAAATTTAATCAGGATAAATTAATAGGTTTGGTTACTCAAAAAGAAAAAAAGAAATAAAAATGCAATATTTGATGTAATCATACAAAAATAGTAATCAGGTTTTAAAGTAAGATATCAAGTTTAAATAATAATTAATAACACCATAACTTATTTATATTGTTTTAAAAACAAATAAAATTTTACTAACAACTATTCTAAAATGAAAAAAATCCTCATTTAAAGAAAAAAGAAAAACCCAAAATTTCTTACTACTTCTTACCAACAGAGTTATTATTTTTGTTTATATTCTAGATGACAGAACAATCTTTACTTATGATCATTAGTCATCCAAGTACAGACATCTGATAGATAATTCTAAGGTTATATGGAGTACATATGTTATGCAACACAAAATTTATTTCTTCTGTTCCTCCAGGTTTCCAAACTAAATATATTAAAAACAAAGTTCTATTTATACACATTTTATTTTCAATTTTTATTACTAATCACATTTGTTTCTGATTGAAGTTTAATATTGACTACAAATGACTTTCTGATTACATTTTACCCATTACATCTGAAAAGCTTCCTATGTGTCTTCACCATATATAAATTATATATTTAACTGAATAACATACAATTCTTAAAAATCATTTTGGTTTACCAATATATTTTGGATATACTCTATTAATGAAGCAAGATTATTTATTTTCCTCAAATTCATAAATCTAATCCTTCATGTTGAAGACTGAAGGGCTGGAGGAGAGGGAGTATGCTCATATAAAATGCTAGTCAGGAAACTTAAAACTAAAACCTAGATAAAATTTTCAATTTACTGGATAGAAAGGTTAAAAGGATCTATCTTAATAGATTATTAAAGCACAAACATTAGCTTACCATTCTCTGGTTTCTTTGAATCATTTTCTTTGGCTACAACATCTGATTCATTAGGTTTTTCCTTTGCAGTAGGAACTGTAAAAGAAGAAATATTCTTAAAAATAACAATCTTTGATTATCCAAACTAGACATTTTCCTCCTTCACTGAAATAATTTTCATTATATTTTCCTCAAATGTGTTCGATTCAGATTTTTTTAAGATATTCCACTTTGATCCAGATCCTATTTCTCCACTTCTATCTATGAAAAACTGCCCCCCCAAAAAAAAACAATTTTAAGAATCAATTTTGACATGTGTTATATTTTTTTTTTTACTTAATACTGAAACATTACAATGACCAATATTTCAAGATATTAGGTATGGACATGGAAATTAGCCAAGAATCCACTCTCACATTTGAAGATTTATCTTTTCCTTAAGGATTGGTTAAAGGGTGCACATTATATGATAGCTCTATTCTGTATGTCAGTAAAGCTTTCTGAATACTGAAAATCATTTTTTTTCTGATTTTCAATGCACAACAGTTTGAGTACCAAAATGTGTTATGTCAAATTAGAGGCTAAAAATTTTAAAAATCGAAATCTTCTATTTTTACATTGATATGCCAATGTAATTGTATTAGATTTTCATTTATTCATAAACCAGTAATAAACTTCATCTTGCAAGGTCAACAAAAGCAACTGTCTAAATTATGACTGACACACACACACACACCCTTTTCATCTAAGCGTATCTCTTGCATAAATATTTCTAGTAAAATAAAATTAATATTTTAAATACTATATTATCTTTTCATGTGCTAAATTTATTATAGACAGTTTCAGATCTTTCTATACTAAACTTGCTTTTAGTATTTATTTGATCACTATATATGTAAATCATTAGAAAGAATGAAAGTTTGGTGTATATGTTTAATATATTATCTCTGTGATATAGGTTACATAAACAACTTATATACAGAATTAGGTACATTTAACAATTTCCCTTAAAACACGAAAGCAAATATATAAAAACAAGTAAGTGTTTATAAATCATTTTGACATAGTTGATATACACTTTGACACTATCTACAACAAATTATTCCCACACAAATGTTTGTGCCAAATGTAAATGTAATACAAACCTAACTGACCAACCATCAATCAAGAGCAAATAACATGAAAGGCTAATATGTCAATATTTTGAAAGTAAACTTATTTTCTTATAAAGGAGTCTATTTTGTGGCTTAAATTCCAAGATACATAACTTAGCATAGCATATAGTTACCAAAACTTGTTCCACCAGTTTGTGCCTTCCATAAAGCACTACTTAATCATTGTGCCATTTATGCTCTGGTTTTCAAATTCTGTATTGTATTTGAATAGTGTGGTTCTAGCATGATCTCTTAAATGAGGATTAATGATTTTTCTATGATCATTCAGCTGTACCAATGGAGGACATGTCAGGAACATCTTTACTACTTATTGTTTCCTTACACACAACATTAGATGTCAAGTACTTTTCATCCAATGGGCAATTACTCTTATTATTGCATTTACATGAAGGGTTGGATTTGTAGGTGTCATTCACTGAAAGCACTTTTTTATTTTGTATTATATTATCCAAACTGCAGTAACTTAGTTTTAGTGTGTTTCAGTTAAATAATTTATGTAAATTAATGTTGTAATTTTGGCTAATCCTCATCACCAAAATGTTGTTACCTAGAGAAGGTTACTGGATAGAATAATCAAATGAAGGTTGGTAATGAACAATAATACTTAGGACAAGAACAACACGTATTTGCCAGCAGCGCGTAAATGAAGCAGTCAACTGCTAGAAATGAGTCAAGTGAATTCCACAATGAATCTCCAACTGCAGGATATCTACCAACCGCCCCATGTGGTCAGATGTGGCACAAGGTCACATTTAATGTGGGGTATCTCGGCCAGTGGGCTTGGCCAAAGATTCCTCTGTATAAACGGAGTAGGGTAGCTGTTTTCCAAGACAGGACTCTGCCTTTTGACATAGCCATGCTGGGGATCTTCTCTGACCAGAGGCAGAGAGTTTGACCAGCACAGCGGGAGACGAATCTCCAACTGCAGACCAACATACAGGATTTACTACTGTATATGAATGGAGACATACCCATTATCGTCCGTAGGTATACTACAACAATTACTATTTACCTGGAAGTGTTTTCCTATCAATTTCAATTTTTTTTTTTTTTTAACCAGTTTTGGTTGTCACCACCTTACCGAGGCAGTGAATGAACCAAATATTCTTTTTTTTTTTTATACATAATCATGGTTAAATCATAAATTGATGGAATATCCATTTTTTCAAAGCTATTGCATAAAATGTTTGGGAATTATTGAATATATAACTATTTATATGAACTGGCCAATAGATAGAGGACCATACTTAAAGATAGCAGGAGGATCGTTAGACACACTATTAATATACCTTTAAGCATTTTCCATTTTCCTATATAGTAAATCCCTTTTACAAGATCCAACAAAGTGCATAATAAATTCATCTCTTCCAAGTTTGTGCTTATTTCAGCCAAAAACCAATCTTTAAAATTTTTCAAGTCTTTTTATAATCTGGTTATAAGGTATTTACATTGCTCGGACTATCATCCTCATCTTTGTTGCCATATTTATCACAACATTTTGGCCATTGTACGCTCAGGCCTTCTTCACCTGAAAAAGGCCGGAGTGTAAAACGGCTGAAATGTTGTTATAAATATGGCAACAAAGATGAGGATGATAGTCCGAGAAATGTAAATAGTGTACATAATACCTCATCTCAGAAATATAGATAGATACTAGTTATAACCTCTTTATCTACTTTGGGCACTGATCACTGTTTGATTTACTGCAACCAACAAGCTTTTGCTTTAGTTGTACTGTCTTGATTCCGACATCAGTATGAATGTTAATATATTTTGGAAAAAAAATTAAGATTTACATTTTTTCCTCATTTGTTTTACAAATTAGAAATTTTGTGTGCCCTTTGAAAAGTGTTCAGAAGTTACAAACTCAAGTTTATGTCTAAGAGGATTCAAAGTATTTTGTTCAAAATAGTTGCATGATAGGGAATTATATGTCACTAAATCTACATATTTTCTCTATACTTTGGTACCAATCAGAAACGATTTTTTTAAGGCAAGAAAATTTAGTAAATATGTATGTGAGTTTTGAATAATAAGGGATATTACTTTTTTATTTCTTTTTAAGCAAGATTTTTTTTAATCCTGTGTCAATACATTTAAATTGGGCAAATAAAATTATAAATGAAAGCATTAATAGCTATCATAATAGTCCTTTGTTTTGACAATCTAAACAAGTTTTATTTTACTGTAGTTTAAATAATGAAGAAAATATAACTGGAGCACTTATCAAATATATAATAATAGTTTACATGCACGTGTACTTGGAACACTGAAAAATGAACTATATAAAGTTGTCCATGTGTTCCAACATTACATAATGTTATACAATGCAGTTTTATTATATAAATATAGCACCATATATCTATATCTTGCCCAATGTAGTGATTCTTACTTAATAGTGATAAATAATTTGTATATTCAATTTAAAAAAAAATAAATCAAATTCTTAAAAATTACTGGTTTTGGGATTCATTTCCAATATGGTCATTTGTGATCCTTGGAAATAAATGATTGTTTTGTCAATGGCTTTTATAATTAAAGCGCTTAGTTATTCAAATAAAACCATTTTCTGCCTCGAAAGTTCTAACCAACCTACCATTTAGATCACAGCTTGGGAATAAAAGAAAAATTAATATTGACATTTTTTAATATTTTGTTTTGAAAAATTTTTTAAAATATATTGTATATGGAATAAAAAACTACCAAAACCTATTGAACTGCTTTAATTTCAGTAAAATTTGTTAATACCATTTTTCAACAGGTACAAATCTCTCAAAGAAACAACTTCATAATGCTGTAGAACAAAAGAAAGGCTAGTCCAGGTAATGTTGAGAATCATTGTAAGTAATCATTGAAATTAAACCTTAGTTTAATCATTTAGAACAAAGTTACAAAATGAATAATGTGTTGAAATTAAAAAACCAGTCAACTTTCCAATAGGAAATAATATTTCCCTAATTAGTTGAGTTTTTTTTTTTCATGTTACTCTGGAAGCACCAGTTCTCAGGTGATCCCTAAAGTTAAGCAGTACAAGATTTAGTCACTATTAAAACAGGTGATTGCATGCCACTGTACTTAGATAGTGGCATTAGGTTTAGGGCAACAGTTATTGAGTCAGTCTTTCAGACTACTGCTATTCTAGTGAGTTCAATTCTTACCTTGTGTCCTATACTTATTGCATTGTACTAGAGTTAGCTGAGTTTAGAAAATGTTCAGAGAGAAAAAAAAAACACCAATATTCAATTAAAAAGAAGTTAGATTCTCTGCAATGTTGCTTCAGAACTAAACAAAAATGATTTTTGCTTTGAGATGAACTTTTGGTTTTGTTAACGATTTTCATTGTCTTATGAATTATAATAAACTGATTTTATCATATTGTTTGCAACATATAAGTCAATGGTCATATAGTAATAAAACATATAAGTCAATGGTCATATAGTAATAAATAAATGTTTACCTTGAGGTTTTTCTAAGTAGATTGTCAGGCTAAACAAATTTCAAGAATTTTATGTACATTTGTTGTAGCCTCTGACAGAGCTGCTGAAAAGTTCTTAGCATGATCCAGTTCCCAAAAATCATTGATGGAAGTGGGTTAAATGAATAACTTTTTAGTAGCCCTGGTAGATTGAAATGAATTGTTTAAGCAACAATGGTTAAAATCATTATAAAATTTTATAACCCACATAGGTAACAATGAAACCAATAGTGACTAGATGACACTAGCTAATAGATACTAATTATGAAATAAATTATACTTTCTCTAACTCCCCAGGAGTGATAGTTTCAACAAAAAAGAAATCAAATAGAATTCATTTTCTTCAGCTTGGTGATTTTCTTTTACTTTACTCTTTTTTGATGTTTGTCTAATTCTTAATAAAAAAAAATATTTTAAAATAATCATAAAATCAACCAATTCTGACAGGATTATTTAACAGACTAATAATAGAGGGTCTCCTGTTAAAGCCATTTGTCCTTTAATTTGAAGCACGTTTTTCATGGCCTAAAAACACCCAGTTAAGTTACTATATAGTAACTTAAAATAAATTGCACAGAGAGAGAGAGATATGCTGTGGATGTCACATATACGACAAGTGCTCAAGTAAACAACAGCAGCTATTCCCAGAAATAGCTGTTTCTGTCGAGTGCTTCTGGAACTAACTGACACTGCTGTCTACAAATGGGCGTTTTGAGTTCCATCTGGACAATACCATTTCTGCAGATCTTGTCTGTCAAATCTGGAGTCCATTATTTTGGGGGCCATTAATTCAACTTTGCCACATTCTGCAATATTAATAATAAACTGGGAGACACAAAGCCAGGTATGTACATTCTAAATATCAGGTTTATTATCTCTTCCCTTTAGAGTTAATTCAACATAAACTTCCCAGTTACAATTGTATGAAGTGAAAACTCACCTTCATTTTTGTCACTTTCAACATTTTCTTTGAGATTTTTATGCTTCTTTTTCTTTGGTTTTTCTAAAAAATCAAGCAATAAAAATAAAACAAGATTTTATGACACATCTACAAGTTTTTTTTTCCAAATGTTAAAATAATCATTTTTAACAAACTTGATCAAGAAACCAATAAGTTACTCACAAGAAACATAATACTTTTACATACTTTTTTTTTTATGACTACCTTAGATAAATAGATTTGTAATAGAGACAGTAAAGATTTTTTTGTGATGGTTGTGTGGTTGATTTTATTTAGTAACATATCAACCTCTATGAGTCATTTAATGCTGAAATCTAAATATTTTGAATGCAATTACATGCCTTCAACTACAGATAAAAATGTATTATTGGTCATTCTACTATAAATATGTATTGCTGTTATTTTTCTATATGTATTTTTATACTTTCATAGTTTTGTTTGGGAATTCACTGTTTGCCCATAGCTGGGACCCTAACAGATGCTACCGCCCCAGGTCAGGATGGACCTGGGAACAACAATTAAGAGGTGATACCATGCTCCTCAGAACCTCGAATCTCCTGATCAGAGGCTTTTTTGCTGGATGTAGTTTATCGTCATACCCAAGATTATTAGTTTGTAATCAAGGTTTACATTTTATAATTTGACATGTAGACAAACTCCAACTTAATAGACATTGTTTCAAGTTCAAAAAATAATTTAAGAGGTGTATTACCTTCTTTACAATCGATAATCACAACACTTTCGTCATATTTGCGTTTCATTTTCTTCGATTCTATGGAGAGGAGTGGAGAAAAAAAATAAAAATAAATCAAATCATTTATTTAAATGCCTGTTTTTGAAAATGTATGAATAAAATAGAGCTCTGCTTTAAGAAACCAATTAGAATATTAACACAAACATTAAAACAGAGAGGTTTTCTCAGCCTTTAATCATTATTCAGTTCTAATAAACTATATGGACCAGCTGATAGCTGCAATCCATCATGAGAGAATAAACTTATCAAAAGGTTGATTTTCATGTTACAAAATTAATCAGTGTTATCTCATGATTTAATGAATCTACTATGTATATTAAATGTTTACAGTATCAACCAAAGTCAATTTTATGAATGTTTTAATTAATCAGCAAATATCTGTTAATGACTATTTTCCAATAGGAAAGACTGTGCAGTCAGTCATATGAATAAAATTACATCAAACAGATAAATTGGCTTATGTCTATTTTCACATTTATTAGCATATTTACCGTAATTTATGGATATATGATAAATTAATCAAAGGAAATCAATAGAGAAAGAAAATTATTTACTGTGAGTTTTGCTGCCAGATTCTTCAGAAACCTTAAGGTTTAGAATATTCTCTGTAGAACTGATATTTTCCACATTCCCATCTTTTGAGTGTTTTTTCTTTTTTTTGTGAGATTTTGTAGTTTCTAAATTTTGAAACACTTTATGTTTTTCTTCTTCAGTGGCCTCGGATCTGTAGTTTACCATTTCTGCAAAACAAAATTAAAAATAATTTTTCAAAACTAACTTTATATTCTAAAGATTCAACACCAAAGATGCTTATAAAGTAACAATTACCAAAGTTTCTTTGATAAAAATTGTAAATAAGTCATGTGTTGCACCCCATTCAACTAGAGGGTCAGTCTAGTTGAGAAAAAAAATCTCCCTTGTTTTGTAATTGATGTTGCCACTGGAAATAATGAGGTCTGCTAAACATGCATGAACCAGTATTTAAACTATAGAATGTGCCAAATGTCTTTCTGAAATTTCTCTCTTAGGTGTCAACATCTAAGGAAAATTATTGGGATTCTAGATGAGGGATTGCTTATAAAAATTCTCCAGCAGAAGTCAATAATTTTTAATTCTTTGTAACTACTTGTACATTCTCACCATACCTACACACACAAGATCTAATGTCAAATATGTGTTATTCAATAAAGGACATAAAATTTATAACTATATATTTTAATGTACTTCAAGAAAAAAAAATCCATTTTTCCTATTGAAATGTATTCACTTTCAATGCTGTCATATTTTAAATCTGTTATTGCAAAGTGTAATTTTTACTTAATGCTTGATTGTATTTTTTTTTTAGTCACCACTCATGCTAGTCGCTTGCATGTTACTTCTGCTAAAAAGAAATGACTGTTGTAAATATAACATCCATTAAATTTAATTAATGTTGTCATTGAATTTAAAATCTAATATTGCCTAATTTTTTTTAGTTGTAGTTATTGGAGTCAGAATGATGTGAGAGAGTTTGTGTGTGTATATATATATATATATATATATATATATAATACCCTATGTTGATTGCACAATTGCAAGTTCCATGCCATTTTGCAATCTTTTCTTACACTATAGGGTGTATGTATATGTCTGTGTGCATATATATATATATATATATATATATATATATATATATATATATATATATATATATATATATATTGTAAAATTTGGGGATTATTTCAAAGAGGACTTTTTAGTCCATATGAGAGCTCAATGTATGATACAGACCAAATTATAATGATAATGAAAAAACATTAAAAATCCATTTTTGGTAATAAATCTATTTCGTTGAAAAAAGGCATATTGGTCAGGCTGAGAAATTTCCAGCAACCACCATCAATGCATTTTAATAATAATGATATTTAAAAACACGTTTAAAAGTTTTGATCTACACTTAGTATTTTCTTAAAAGATGACTATGTATTACACCAAATGCCAAAAATATCTCGGTAGGTATCACTTAAGTGACTTTTTTTATTGGATACTTTTAAAAAGATTTGTGGAAGTTTATTTTTCCAGGTTAATTATACCCCAACTTTATTTAATTTTTGTGGCTAATCTATACTAGTGGATTTGGGATATTTTATAAAGCAAAATCTCCGAAGATGTTACTAGAAAAAAGATACCACAGCTAAAAGTAAAAATAAATTTAAGAAAACCAACAATGTGTCGGATAATTAAAGAAATAGGTTCGATTTACGTAAATCCGCATTAAGCTGATATTCATACAAGTTATAACTGGTAATTTCTAATAGAGCTGCGCATATTTAGTAACGACTAACTAGTCTCTATACAATAACAAAATATTTGTGTAAAAGATAAAAAAATGAATAAACTCATTTTGCTTCAAGCAATCGCGCATGCGCATTAATGGTGACTTATAATGAAAACTTGCAATTTGCATTACGTTTTGTTTGTTTCTAGAAAATAAATGTTCGATATTTTAAATAAATGAAGCACCAAACTACATGGTAATTAATTTAAACATTTTTAATTGTTTACCGATAAGAAAGATCGGGTCACCCTGAACAACAACAATCAATTTTCTTTGAAAAGGGAAAAAAATAATTAATGTGAAATATTGAAATTTCGAGGGAAAGTTCAATACTTTTAAAGTTAATTCAGCATTATGTTTCAGCAGTCTAATTTGCTACAAAGCATTTTCCATAGGTTGAGACTTCTTTTGTTGAATTTAAAATACAAAGTTTAGTGTATTTTAATTCAATGAATTTTATTCAATTCTGAAAAGATAAATAATATAATTTAAATTTATTTTTCACCCAAACTATTTTCATAAATCGTTGGAAAAAAAACCCCCAAAAAACAATGCTTTTTAAAATCTTTTTCTTTTCTTCAGCAAAAAAACAAAACACATAGGAATTAACAATGACAAAAGTTCTAAATAAAATACTACAACAGTACATTATTTGAAATCCACAAGCTTGTAAAGGGCTGAGAGCAATTTTCTTTAAAATTGAGCAAAATCAACAATTTCTAGTTAAAAAAGACAGATGAAATGAATGATTGTTCGAAAGCACGAGGGGACGTACTACAAACTAACAGGTGCGTAAATTTAAGATTTTCATGGCTGCAATGTGATCGTTCTTTACAAAATGCAGTATTTGAAAAAACTTTTTGTAGTACCATTTTGATAAAAAAAAAAAAAAAAAATACTTACTGATAAATTTCAGAACAAACTAGAGATACTTTCACCATCTAATTCACCGAAAACGTGGATATTCAAATTTCAAGGGAGACCACTCGCATTACAACCGTACCTTTTAAACACCAACGCAAATTTTTCTTACTCCTTAAGCCCTTATTGTTCTTTTTTTTTAACGCCAGTTGAGTAAATTATTATATCAACTTTGGTCATTCGTTTTTTTTTTTGTTTTTTTTTTTAGCAGAATGAATAATTTTATCTTCTTATACTACATTAGAATAATATATATATCTTTAGCTAAATTATATTTTGATTTTAATTAAATTTCTTTTATTATCTTACCTAATGTCATAAAAAATATCTAAAATTGCACTCAATATGTTTTTTATTATGCTGAATTTGTGAGTAAATAATGATAAATTATTTTGATATCAAATAGGTAAGAAAATAATAAAAAAATAAAAGCAATGAAATAAATTCAAAAGTATCATTTAACTAGTTTTTAATGAATTTTATTTTCCTACTTCTAATATTAGTATAAAAAACAAAATTATTAATTCTATTAAGTTTCATAAAAGTGCATAGAATAAAAAAATGATATTCTCAAACTACTGGTTATATAAGGTTAAAAATAATTTATTTTTTAGCATAAAAAATATCAATTCCTAGAATATAGTACTTTATAAAATTTTACTTGTGTCTTGGGGGGTGACAGTGGGAGACAACTGTTGTTGACATGAACTTCATTTTCATGGGTTACTGCGTGTAAATTAAATAAATGTTATTTTCGCTATGTTTAAAAAAAAATAATAAGCATTACTTTTACAAACTTCAGTTTTAATCCTTAAATTTACCAATTTACTTTGAAACAAATCTTGAGGACAAATATTGAATTTTTAAAAGGTTTTTAAATTTGTTGTTTTCATTTATTGCTGGTAATAGAGGTCAAATGAGCAATGAGTGACTATGCCAACGCATTAAAAATGTCTGAAAACTTTATTTACATGCATAAGTTTAGTTTTCTTTTTTTATAGATTAGTTTTTTTATAGATTATCTTTTAAATCAAAAGAAACTTTAACTTCAAAAAATACATTTAAATTATTTAAATTTTCAGATTTTTTTAGATGTTCATGGTCGTATGTAAAAAAAGGGGGAAAATTAGAAATGTCCAAAATTCACTAGTACAGATTAGCCACGAGATAAATAAAGTGACTGAAAAAATATTTTCACAAAACTTAAAACTAAAAAAAAATATAGATTCATTAATGAATACATGCTGAAAATTTCAATTAAATAGGATAATTCAATCACTTTTGATAAATTTTTTTTTTTCATGTGATGAAAATGTATATGATTTTGGAGGTACCTGTATATTGCATAAATTGTTTATTGAAATAACATCTGTCATCACCATCCTCAATTTTAAAAGTGTTTACACTTTATTGGGAGGTGGGTGGACCTTTTCCCTCTGTCTCTCAGAGAGAGGGAGAGAGAGACGGATTGATTAAATTTCTAAATTGTTATAATACATTACAATGTGAGCTAAATACTAGAACCAGATTTATGGATCAAATATGAAGAAAACATTTTTTCTTCGTAGTATGAACCATACTATTTTTTTGAAAGAATCATTTCTTGTGTTTCAAGTTCATTTCAAACTTATGGGAATGATTTGCACAGTTGACTGTGTCCAAAAGCATGATTTCCTACCCACATAAAAATACTTTTTCTAATGGCAGTGTTTTTTAATAATCAAAATATCTCATTATTTACATTAAACATGGCACGTGGAACTAGAGCAGTCTACCCCAGTGAGCAAAATAAAAGGTTCGGTTCGACATTCCAACCACCTGAAGAAGGCCGGAGTGTACAACAGCCGAAACGTTGTGATATACATGGCGACAAAGATGAGGACAATAGTCTGAATAATGTACATAATAACTCATCTCAGAAATATAGACAGATATCAAAATATCTCATATCGGAATTTAAAATCTGCAGAATAAAATATGTCATTAATTTGTTCAACTTTTAAATCTTATGTTTTTAAAAAATTATGCAAATTTTTATAGGTTTTTATGTTCAAAGAATTATTCAAATATTAAAAAAGCTATTGAATTGCTAATAAATAAGTATTAACCATGTTTATAAATCATGTTTACATTCCATTTTGCTCATACTTATTCTAAGCAACCTCACTGAATATGAGGTGAATCATGCACCACAAAAAATTGGAATTCAAATGTGGCTTGTCAACTGGATGTTGTTGCACATTCTGCAGTTTAGTATTTGATCCAGTTTGTATTGGTTTTGAATTATACCATAATTAACGAAACTGCTGACAGAATAGCCAAAATCTGATTTGAAAACATGAGAATTTTCTTTTTATAAACAAATTTTATACTACTTTCAACAAATAAAATTCAAGAAATTGTAAATGGTTACAGGACTTAATTTTTTCTTTTTTTAAAAAAAGTAGCTCTTATTCACTGTTAATTCACTTTAAGAATAATTAGTGATACCAACTTTAAAGCTATCTAAAATACAGAAATTTAGACAAATTTTAATAAAAAATAAAAATAAAATTTTTGGGGAACTTTTTTTTTTTACAGCAAATATAGTCTATTCAATAGAATATTCTCCCTTTGGTTGTAAAGATAAAATTATACTGAATGATGTTTATCGCTATCATCAATTACAAAAATTCAGTTTTCAAAGAAAAATTGACAGTTTTTGTAACTGGTAAATATAACTATGGCATCATGAAAGAGACTTTTCTGTGCAATTAAAGGAAAGTGTTTGTCAATAGAAGTTTCATTTTACTCTGTTCTTTAAAATTTTATAAAACCGATGAAAAATTGATACAACTCAATCAGGGATTCTTGAAAATGTTAACTTATCTATGTGGGCTTTAGAGTTGTTGTAGTAGTTGGAAGGATGTGTGGGTAAGTAAGTAAATGGTTGCCTGTTTATTTCTGAGTATGTCAATCTACTAAGGTGACTAAGTAATCTCTGTTATAGACACCTGCTAAAGTACATTTGTGTTTCTTCAACACCCACAGAGCTAACCTGTGGTTTATACTGCAACCACACTAAGCACACTTTAGTTACAGTTTCTGGGAGGGAATGCATAATCTGGCATGACCAACAGCTTTGAACAAAAGTCAGGTCATTCAACTCCTCAGTCATCATGATTTCTGACTTTGTGCCATCACAAACATTGATGGATATTGGACAGTTTCATCTACCCAACTTTACTCACAAGACTTCGGTCAACCTGGGTATAGTTTCAGGGACTTCACATCAGTGTCACATACTGGGATTGTCACTTCAGGTTGATATTATCAAAAAGTCATCTTCTTGACAAATTGATCATGACGAGAATGCAAACCATTTAGTCACATGCCCACATATATGTATAGTACAATGATTACACTGGCCTACAAACATTTTTTTTTAAATGGTGCAAGGGATATCATAGCTAATTTTAAACAATTTCATGGTGCTGAATTTAAATATCATAGTCATTTTTCTGAGCTAGCTCTAGTTTTCTTGCTTCAGATGATGACTAAAAACAGGAATATTTTGTGGGATCAGTCACCTGGATTTTAGGAAGAAAAATAAAATCTGAATGTTGTGTCCATAAATACAACACAATTTCATAAACAATGCAAAGAAATGATCTTTGCAGAAAAGGAAGATGACCAAGCTAAATATGACAGTAACATTTATACAGAGAGATACATGTATTTACATATTAAAAATCAATGTTCTTTGTTATGGCCATGAAGAGAGCAATAATTCAAGTGTACAAAATGATTTGTCTCAAGTGAATCTGCAAAGTACATTTGTGGCCATGAAGTAACAAATAGTTTGTTCAAAATGATTTTGAGTGAGGAAATCAAGTGGTATGATACACCAATATGTGTGTGAAGCACACACCAATGAAATATGTGTGTGACTACTGAGTGATTGTGTGCAACAGTAGTAATTTTAAAACACAGTAGACAAAGAGAGGGGAGACAAAACCTACTTTCGTCATGGTATTGTATGTAGAAAATCATCACATATACACATTGTCATGGTACATGTGTCTATGTTGTTGATTGAGGCTTGGTCTAGTTTGCTGTCTTTTGCCGACTGTTCTTCACTGACTGTGTTGTTGCAGATCTGATCATTGATTGTTTCTGACAAACCATTTTTTATCACTATTTAGCTGATTCTTGGCTCACAAATCCTATTTTAGTTTTGCACAAGATTGTACACAATAACCTGAGCCCTGACCTTTTACCAGATCATTTGGAGTTCAACCTTGCAGATGTAGTAAAAAGCATTTCATTTGACTTGTCATATCCAATCAAGTCTCAGAAACCACTTATTTAATTTAGAGCTGTGTTTGTATAGAATTGGAAAAATGTTTTTCATATCTGCTGAATTTAGTAAGATTTATTTGTAGCTGTCTATTACTTATTTGTACCTCACATTTTTTGTACCATAAAATATAAGAGTTTATACCTATAATTTTAAGTCATTAGTCTGAAAAGTGAATAATGAACAGCTGTGAAAATGCAATTCAAATAAAGTTTCAAATCTGAGGTAAGAAGAAAAGAACATCAAAACACAAATATGTTAGATTAAATATGAAGCTAAAAATTATAAAAGAACAATCATGGTAAGAACTTTTACTTTTTTTGATTTTTATGAATGATCCTCAGTTTTATTTCTCTTCGGGCTTCAACAGTAATCTGCCATTATCTCCTTTGATATCTGTCCTCCATGACTTTTATATCCTGATGAAAACGTTCTCCTCGTTCATCACTAGTTTTTTGGAAACCTATCCAAATGACTATACAGCAAATGTAGTTTGATACACATGTTATCACCAAGCTCCTAGTAGTTTGTTAACATCCTGCCAACTAGTTCCCTATAGTCATCTGTCTTGCAAAACAATTTTTTTACTACAGCAACAAATGAAATCCAGGTATTTGATTCAGTAACATTCATAGAATTGATGAAGTTATCATCCTTGATGAGTTTTCAATTGTCAGGCCA